GAGACCGAGTCAGGGCACCAGGTCTATGAGTGCCGACTCAGAGGCTGGAGGACAGAAACTCTTTCCTGTTTTTGCACTGAATTGTATCACATTTCCATAAGCAAACACACAGGAGACCATGGCTTTTCTGCTTCACACAGGTCTTTTTCTCACACAGCCTGGAACTTAGGGGACCCATGTTCTGTTCTCACATATGACAGCTTTCAAACACCACACTTGAAGTGACAGTGACTTTCCCATGTCAGGCAGACCTTCTGGGGTGTTGGGTGCCCCCGGGAGTGTGGCTTCAGAGAACACTGAGATCAGCTCAGATGCTGAAAAAGAGACATCCCTACGGATCTGGTTTCCCTCATGCTGTCTCCTCCCAATGTCCAGCCCATCTCATGCAGACATTGAGAGGAGCCTGTGTCTGGGCCAAATGACAAATCTCAGCACCCCAAGAGCTTGGAGTCAGGTCTGTCACGCATGTGAAGAAGAAATCCCTGCTGTCTCCAAAAAAACATTCAAGTAAAAATAACAAAAGGCTCTTTTGTCACCTGTCCAATTTTTCATGGTAGGTGATCTTTTTAACGCAATGTATAGACAAGGCAAAAGGAGGATGCTTCTCCTTTGCCTCAGCCCGCATGAAAAGGAGGAAAGATTTCTGTTTTCCAAGGGGTAGAAAATCCAGGGTTTTCCTCAGTATTTCCTGAGTACTCTGTCTGGTCCGGGCACTGGAACCCCGAAGATGAGACATGGCCCTCGTCACCGAGGTCACTGGTGGCGTGCCACTGTTTCCCTAGGGTGCGAGGCTCTGTGCTCCTCAGTGTGGCACTAGCAAGGGCATCTAGGAGGAAGGGTCAGGGCAGGAAGAGCAGAAGGAGCAGGCAGGGAGGCCATGGGCCCAGGGTGTCTCAGGACCTCAGTGCTTCATGCTAGATGCCCTGTGCTGTGCCCCAGAATTCAGGATTAGCAGAAGACGTTAAGGAGCCTGTGACAGGATTGAGGGAAGAAAGGACCTTTCCAGTAAGATCATTCTAGAGGCTCACACAGAGGCAGGAAAACCAAGGGTTGACGGCATTGCAAACCTGGGCCCAACTCAGCCATCCTTGTGCTTCCCATTGAATTGCGGTGGAGCAGATACTAAGGTCTCAGACCGGGAGGACTGTCCGGGGTTCTGGCTCCACTGGGTGGTAGGTCAGCTCTGAGAGCTCAGGAAGGGGCGTAGTCTTGTGGAGGTTCTGTCTGACCGTGTCAGGAATGGAGTAAAGAGGCCGCAGCCTGACGTCAGGCGATGGCTAGAAGACGCGATGCGTGTAGGGTGCTTGGTCTACACTCTCAGCTTACACACTCACTAAGAATATGTGTGTCTGCATGTGTGTGCTTGTGTATTTATGTGTGGTGAGTGTTTACGTGTGTGTATATGTGTGTGTGTGCATCCACTGGCCTCTGCAGGAGCTCACATGGTGGTGGATACAGTGTGGAGTCCTTGTCCACAACCACCTGACCACAAGCCTGTTTGGCCCCAGGGCCTATGCAAAGATCGCGGGCTACACTTGTATTTGGCCTGATGGTAGGAAAGGGCTAGGTGCCTTTCGATCAAGTTTCACCAAATTTGTCAAAACACTGTCACATGATTTCCCTGGTTCTTGAGAGGAGAAGGCAGAGAAAGACAAAGCCAAGGGTTTAACTCAGGACAATGAGTGACCCAGGTAAGCAGGCCACAAGGGGCATGGGTGCTGGTCCTGGTGCTGCTCCTGGCATCTAGGGAAAGGAGACAGAGCTTGGGCGCCTCTGACCGTGCTCTCTCCAGCAAGGTCCCAGCTTGGAGGGCTGTTCTGCTGTCCCAGTCCGCTGCCCCCAGTCCCTCCTCTTAACAAAACAAGGACTGGGACTCAAGCTAAACACAACCTCTTCAAACAGCCACAATGTAAACAGTGATTCTACAGTCCCCCAGAGGACAGTGTACTTAGAAGCAAATAGTTTCTACCCAACAAGCATCTGCTTTTCCTCAGAGCAGCCCTCTGTCGGCTGTACCAGCCACATAGACACCCGAGGATGTGTCCCATGCTCTCCCCTCTCTATTTCTGTTCTCTCATTTGTAGTTTTGCACATTACTGAGGCCACCTCTACACTGAAATTTCTTTGAAATCTTAGGAAAGTGTACACCTTTCCCTGTTAGACTGATTCAGTTTGGTGTTCACAGGGGAGAGCAGAAGCCTTGCTTCCTGGGGTGGCCTAGCAATGGTGATGCCAAGGCTTTGGCCCTCAGTGTGGGGCACATGGAGAAGGGGACTTCAGGAAGTAGCTAGGGTTGGAGGAGGTGGCCAGAGTGGGACCTCAGGAAGGATCAGTGTCCTCACAGGAGACAGCAGAGAGCTCGCTGTGTCTCCCTCAGCCTGCCAAAGGGAGGCCACCAGCAAGGCCACTCAGTACTGTGCATTCTTGGTTGGTGGGGAGCAGAGCTCGGCTGAGCTTTCCTGTAGAGGAAATGGTGCTTCCAGTCATGTGGCCATGGGAAATGGCACTTTCAGTCTTCACTGACAGCAGGCAGGGTAGAAACATAAAAATATTACTAAGAATTAACAAGGAAATGAACGTTCCCAGCCTCAATGCCAGCTCTTAGAGGACCCATGTTTAGCATCATAACAATTTCGACAGAGGAGCTTTCGTCACTGCTGCAAATGGCACTGCATGCTGATCTCAAACAGCGTTGGATACATTCTTATCTTTCCAGAAACAACTCACATGCTGTTTCTTTCGTGAGTTTCCTAAATGTCATGTGGAGATGACATTTGTGTATCTCTTATATTCTATGGTCCGCTGGCAGAATTTTTAATCTTTTCTCAGAGTGTCCCCTGCACCTTGGACTTACTTTTATGAAACTTTCACATCAAATTAGAGGACATTAGATATCATTTCTGTTCTGCTAGAGATTGAACTGTCTGAAGCCAAAGCCATGGCCCCATGGACATAGAAGCTGCTCAATAATTGAATGAACAAACTGATGCTCTTTTGGCAATTCCTTCTTTAGCTCCCATGTCCAGAGATGCTTCAGATGGAGCATTACCAAACAGAGGCACACCAAGCATTGCCATTTTTTCTGGTCTGAATCCTTACCCAGCTGTGGGAGCTGCAGGAACACAGCTGCAATGGTCACATACAGAGATCCAGTGTTTTAATAATATTTGACTCCTTTGTTGTTTTGCCCATGTGTCAAGGATTTCTTGACCTTTGTTCATCTAAAGCTACAAAACAAAACGGCAACTACAAAAAACCCACATGAGCATAAATATCAGGGGGCTTATACTGGAAAGTCTATCTTCCCATTTACAAGGAAAGAAAGGAGCTGTCTTGTAGTCCATGGTCTTAACCAACTCCTTTTAAGCCCCACTTTTTCTTCAGTGTTGGATAATGGAACCCAGGGCCTCATGCATGCCAGGCAAGACAAGTGCTCTACCACTAAGCTATACCTCCATCCCCTAGTGAACTTCTTTGAAATAAAATAAAATCACTTGTTTTTGTGAGAATCCAAACGTTGAGCAGAGGATGGAGTCTGAGCATAGCTCTCCGTCAGCTCCTCAGTCCGACACATTGCAGAAGAACAGAGTAAGCAGGTTGAGGAAACAGAAAGTTCTAGGGATGTGTGGTGGTGATGATTCCCATAACAAAGTGAACAGTTGTCATGTTGCTGAACTGTATGTGTGAAATGTTGAAAATCGTAACTGTTGGTTATGTGGATTTTACCATAGTAATTTTAGCCTTTGAAAAAATAGACAAAGAGCTGGCATGGAAATGGCTTTGATTGAGATCATCTAGGAAGTCTTCTCTGAAGATGAGGTGACACAGGAGAGACCCATAAGAATGATGAGAGCTCCAGGGGAGCTCTGGGGTTTGCTTTGAGTACAGCAGGACACCCTAGAAGTGCTCCAGGAAGTGAGGAACATGGCCTGTTCTGCCATGAAAACACTCTGTAGTCTGTGACATGCAGGGACCCCTGCCACCATCCAGGTGGACGGTTGTAGGCTCAGATGTGCAGAGTGATGGGGGTTATAATTTCCAGGTACCCTCTTGGCTCCAAAGGATTTGACATGGGGTACAAGGGACTCAGATGCATGGAGGGCAGCTCAGTGGTTAGCAAGCCTCTTGGTGGATAGGGGTCCCATTTGCTGAGTTGAGAAAGCCAGTGGGGGAAGGAGAAGGGGTATACAGGGTGTATTCCTCCAGAAGTGTGCTCTTGAGTCCCATACCTCCAGACGACCAGTCAGAGAGCCATTTGTTAAACAATGAATGAATTAGTAAGACCTAATGGATAAAGGAAGGGAGAAAAAGTAAAATCACCCTACATTTTTAAAAATATGAATGAGCATCTTTGGCAAAATAATATGATCATAAAACCCCCAAGTTAGAACTTCAGAGAACAGGATTTCTGTCTCAGAAAATATTTCCAAACCTGGGGTTCCTCCTCCTGGCTTTCTTTCTGGGACACTCCCATCCTGCTGCATAGGAAATGGGTTCACACATGCGTGCATCTCAGCTGTTGCCCAGCTTCTGTGCTCGAGCAGAGGGGACAGGGAGCAGCCAGCCTCTCACTCCCTGGTGTAGCAGGCATTGGGCAGGACCGTGCTTCCCTGTGGATACAGCACATGTGTTAGTCACCACACATGCCACCAGTCATGTGCCATTCTGCAGCCCCATAGGCGCCATGGAGCTGAGATCTGAAGCCCAGGATGCCAGGTCCTTCTCGGGACACTAGTGCAAACAGACAGACACGGAGAGTTCAGTCCGGCCAGGCTTGAGCTGCTGGCCCACAAACTGCTCTTCCTGGCTCTTGCCAAGCAAGAGCAGAGCAGTTGGTGGGAAGAACGTGCTGTAAACATCACCTTCACAATCGGAGAGGGCATAGTGCAAAATGTGACTCTCTGTGACACTACCATGAGACAGTGGCTGGCTGTCACCTGCTTCTGCCACCCTCTGCTCTGTGGGTTCCTCTACTAACCCTTGTGCTGCCTCCTTCACAGGGCTGAGAGCACAGAGCGGGCCGACCTCAACTCTTCCTCTTCCAGCCAAAGCCACCTCCCCGGCCACTCTCGGGACCAGCACTGCACCAACGAGCCCTGCTGGCCTCACAGTGCCCCTGACCAACAGCACTCAGGACACCTTGGGACTCTCAGTCACCCCGGCAGCCTCACTGACAGTGCTCCCCAAGAATGCTTCCTCTGAACCCACAGAAGAGGCACTCACCAGTTCAGTCCCCAACCAGGAGATCACCGAGCCCGAGCCCTCAAACCCTGGACTCTCCTCAACAGCTGGGGGTGTCCCCTCTGCCCTCACACCTGAGGAGCACAGTTTGGGTGGTTCTGGGGCCAGCGTGCCAGCTGCAGGGTGGCAATCCCCCACACCCTTACCTCCACAGAATGTATCCTCATCTTCCTCATCCCTGTCAACCCTGTCAACTTCACCACCTCCAGCTCCTTCTGCCTCTGTCCACTCCGACAACAGTTCCCAAGTGCTCAGCACCCACCAGCCGGCGGCTCCCACAGCACCAGCATCCCCAGCAGAGAAGCCCAGCCCCAGCCACACTGCTCCCACAGCACCAGCATCCCCAGCAGAGAAGCCCAGCTCCAGCCACACTGCTCCCCTCCACACCACGGCGGAGCCAGGGACGGAGGAGAACACAGCCCAAGCCGATCAGCCTGGCAAAGGTGTCTGTGGGCCTGAGACTACCACTCCGCTCCTGATCATGCAGGAGGTGGGGCACGCGCTGAGCTCAGGTGAGTGTTCCGCCCGGCCTGGGAACGTGGTCCCAAGACACACTGAGGGTTGGCTCTCACTGCCACTTGCACTTAGGTGCAAACTGTGGAGCTCAGCACCTGAGTGGTTGTAGCTCACAGCATTTCCACAAGAATGCAAACATGGGTTTTATTTATTTTTTTTAATGCAGGAAAGGTAAAACAAAATTTCATAACAAGATGATAGTAGAATAACAATAGGGCATTGCACATTATTATCTTATAATCTTCACTCAGAGTACAAGACATGGGTATAAAATTTCTCCAGTTGATGTTAGCACACACCTTCCCTTTCTGTGACACTAGTAGTATAACCTGCATTTTTTTTCTCTCTTTGCCTATCCTTCTTTTCCTATTTCCCCTGTCCTAGTTCCTTCTCCCCTTTTAATGATTTCTTTCCATTTCACAAAATATGTTGTACATTTCAGACCTTATTTACTCTTTCAGTTTCTCACACCAAGAGATAATACAATGTTTACACATGAGTCTGATTTATTTCATGTATGAGTATGGTCTGAAATTGCATCCATTTACCTATAAAAATTTCAAGTTTGTCCTTCTTTATGGCTGAGTAGTACTCCATTGTATAAAAATATGACATCGTTTTTATCTATTCCACAGTTGATGGACAGGTGAGTTGCTTCCAGGATTTAGCTATTACAAAGTATGCTGTTATAAACATGGGTGCACATATATCACTACGGTATGTTTTTCATTCTTTTGAGAAGATAAACAGAAGGGGAATAGCTGGGTCAAATGGGACCTCCAATCCTAGCTTTCTGAGAAATCTCCACACTTATTTCCATAGAGGTTGCCCCAGTCTGCACTCCCACAAGCAGTGCAGGAGAATTCCTTTTCCCCCACAGCCTTTGCAGCATTTGTTGTTGGTTGGTTTCTTAATACTAGCCATTCTTTCTGGGGTGAGGTGGAATCTCAGTGTTGTTTGAATTTGCATCTCTTGGATGACCAGTGCTGCTGCTGAGCATTTTTTCATGTATTTATTTGCTGGAAAACTTGAGTTTTGGTCACATCACAGTTTCCACATGGAGGTCATTCCTTGTGGCCAGTTGCTACCTCAGCCTGTCATCAACTCACATCACGGGGACTGTGAATGAGTGAGCCTGGGTTGCACAAGTCTTAGCCCTGTGGGCTTGGGGCAGCTCCCCAGGTCACAGCTCTGACCCAGGACCAGCCGCATCCTCCATCTCCCTCTGCACCTGGTTTTCTCTGTGACATGGGACCGAATAGTTCCCACCATGTAATGTCCTTGTGGAGGTTATGGGATGACACATAACCTGCTTCATATTGTTCCTGCTTCATCTGCTTGGTGTTTTAAAGGAACGTTTACTTCCTAGAAGTCAGGAGCTGTGTGTATGAGAAAACAGTTGTACTTTATGGCTGTGATGTCTTTCATAGGAAAGACAATAAACCTTACAGGGTGAAACACTTGTTTGGACACTCCCAGAATTCCTGTGAAGTGGGTATGGCCTTTCTCTTTATTTGGCAATCTTATAAGTGATAGTGCAGAGGTAGTTAGCTTCTTTTCTGAAGCCATGGCTCAGATGTGGAGGTGAAACTGTACACTTTAGCATACCGGGTAGGAAAGGGTGCTCAAGAAGCCTGTGGCCAGCTGCTGAGACGCAGCCAGGAAACAGGTGAGGAGAGAGGTGGTTCAGGGGAGATGGGCTGCAGACTGCCCCGGGGGGCCCTGTGACCAGCGTGGACTAACCAGACGCCCCGGAAAGATCCTGCATGACAAGCTGGTGCTGCAGGACCAGCTGCCCTTCAGGAGAAACCCACTTCCCAAAAGGTGGGCACTCCTGTGGTGGAAACATGCAAGACACAGAGTTCGGAAGAAACGGAAATAAAGCTAACAAATTTTGGTACAGAAGACTGTGACACAGGAAGCCAAGAATCCCAAAGAATTGTAAACTCACACTTCAAAAGGCTCAGGGCATCAAGTGAGGACCCCAGCAAAAGCAAGAGACCCTCAAACTGGGAAAAAGGCACTAAGAACTAATAGCTGGCTGGTGTTCACTCCAACCAGAGTCAGATGCGAGAAGGAAGGGCAAGCCCTCGATGCTGCACCACACCTGCAGGTCAGAGCCTGGACGGCCAGCTGGAGGGACAGGGAGAGCGAGAGGGCAGTGCTGCAGAGACACAGGAGGATGCCCAGTCTCCAGGGCCATCAGCAAGCTCCTGCCACTGCCTGTAGGGGTCCTCATCTGTGTATCTGCCCCACTTCACCCCGACCCCGCAGAATGGAAGCCACACCCATGGCATGTAGTTGGTCACTTACAAATCTGTCCCTAGCAGAGGGGCCATCCAAGTGCAGGCTCCCCTGCTTCTCCCCTTCCTAGTTCAAACCCTGACCACCGCCATCTTTTCCATTTTCCAACTGATGTCCTCTGCATCCTGGCTCTCCAGGATCCCTGGACATTATGGGATATTGATATTCCCACACACAAATCTGAGTTTAGCACACTTGAACTGCCATTATTTGACACAGCTACTGCTTTCTACAGGTGCCCCAGCCCGAAGCTGCATTTTCCAACTGTTCTGTTCCAGTATTTTAGTTTCTTTTTAGACCACATGCTTGGATTCTGCAGCTCTAGGCCAGCAGGATCAACAGGCACAAACTTAGGGACAGAGTCATGAACGGAGCCTGCGTAGCTCCAGGAAAGCAATGGCAAACCTATGGCTAGCTGTTGTCATAGAAGTTCCAAAAGTTTCACTATCACCTCTCTAGGGAATGCTGCACACAGAAGGTGCTCAAAGCAAAGGGACGAAGAGAGCTTGGAGACCAAGAGAAAGCTGGGTGTAGCAGGCTGGAGGGAGCAGGCAAGGTTTCCATCGCAAGCCAGCAGGCAGGCACCCAGCATGCTCCATTCAGTTGGGAAGTGATTGCTGTGCACCTGTGGGACCTCTGTGCAAGGCAAAGCATGAGCCCTGTGCTCTGTGACTGTGGCTCAGGCAGAGAGAAAGGGCACAGCCAGCCGAAGCCCCTCTGGACACCACGCCCCAGTCTGATGTGCCATCTGGAAGGCTCTGGTCCTCGTGATACGGTGCTCATCTCAAGGCAAGGCAGTGCTGTGCTCAAAGTACGAAGAGCCCTGCTCAAGGTCACAGCAGAGCCAGGTCCCTACCCACGCTCCTGTCCCCTCTCACCACCAGTGGTGCTGCTCCTTGTCCACCAGCAGGCCAGGCTGTGACAGCCTGGGGTAGTGATAACTTCAGGGTATTTTTCTGCTCGGCCGTTTTTCTGCTACCTTTAGAAGTGGCAGGGCTGAAGCCCGCTTCTGTTTGTCTTGTTCTGAGTGCGTACATGGTGCTTATTTCTATAATACCAGGCTTATCTGCTCAACAAGCACCTAAGTTTTGTCCCCAGACAATAATTCTGAACTAGGTCAGGAGCAGCTCTTGGGCTCACCTCAGCCACTGGACTGCAAGGTCACTCTGGCTCCCCCTCTCCCATCCAGGGCCTCTGCCTTGGATCCCACAGCCTCCCAGGGGGTCACAGTCTGGTGCTTTGATACTGAGAAGTAAACTTCTGTCCCTGTTTGGTTTTGTGGGTTGAGAATGTGTACATCCAGCTGTTGACCAACGTGCCTCTCTTCTCACTAACTCTCCCGGGCCCCACACACTTCCTGTCATGCAGCCCCACACTCAGCCTCTCACCCTCTCTCCTCTGCATCCTCAACAAGAGCGCTGAGGTGACCCTGGTCTTCCATGTCTCTCTCACACTCTACATCTCCACCACCAGCTCCAGTCTGGTCTCCCCTCCATCCCCTCTCTGTGTTCCCTTGGGTGGTACCTGCTCACCACACCCTCACCAGCAAATGCCCTCAAGGGCATTCAGGCCTTCAGCTCAAATCTACCTCCATCCTGGACTCTGCAGCCCGGGGGTGACCCACCCAGCTGTTTGCTCCTCCACAAAGAGCTCAGGATCAAATGCTCCATGACCCTAATTTTTCCCAAAGGTACAGAATCGTCCCAGTCCTCTCCTATGGGCCGAAGAGGTCAGAGTACAGTGACCTGTTCACTGTCCTCCAGGTCCATCAGACAAAAACCTGGCGGCCAGCACAGGGGCCAGGAGCAGGCACAGGGACCAAACGGAGTTGTTCTGTGATCAAAAAACACACTGGGGTTGGAAGGCTTCACTAAATAGGAACACAGACTGATCATCTATATTGATTGCTTGCTGATTAGATAACCGGGTTCCATAATACCTATTATTATTTTTTATAAAGCTCAGAACTGACTCTGGCCTGGGCCCTAACACTCTAATGCTGCCCCTCTGAGTCAGGGGAAGGCCAGCTCTGCACCACACCCCAGCGCTCAGCATACCCCGATCCCATATACTTCTCTGCTCTCACCAGCTTCCCCCTCTCACACACTGGCAAAAGATGCAGAATTCTCCAGCCTCAGGGCCTTTGAACTTCCTGTCTCCCCTGCTGCAATATTCTCCTCCTGTGCTTTAAGGACCATTCTTCTTCACTGTCAGGACTCTTTCACTGTCATCTCCCCAGTCCTCTTCAATCCACGCCCCTCTCTGAAATAGCAGCTCTTCACACTGCTTTAGCTTTCATTTCTGGACTTCACCTTGTTCATTAGATGAGTGTCTGCTTACTGGGCCTTGACTGTAAACTTTGGGGACCAAGCGACCTTGCTCACAGCGGGGAGACAACCTGACAGGTGGCAGCTATCAGTAATGTCTGCTCAACAGACCAGCAACAAGGTGGTCAGCAGCACCGGGGAAGTCCCTTCCTCTCTCCAGGTCTGCACCTTCTCTTCAGTCACCTGGGACAGGAACAGCAGCCATGGCAGATTATGAAGGGTTCATTGTTCACTGAACAATGGCCGTGGCTGTTGTTCTGCCGTGTCTGCTGTCACTGCTTTACTTGGCAGTGACCCTCATCGCCGTTGTTATTCTCACCCTAGTGAAGGATTCCCTCCATCTTCAGCCAACATTCGTTGAGCTC